GTTTCTGCAAAAACTTGCTTTCAGACATATTTAACAGCAGTGTATTAGCAACTTCTTACCACTGAGTGTGGATTTTTTCACAGAAGAATTATGACACTACAAGATGCTCTATCAATTTTAAATCAATAATAACTAATCATAATTCATTATTCAAAATTCTGAGAGTAAATGTGACATTCCAATCTGAGCGTCGGAAAATTTAAAGGCTTCTGATTGGCTGGAATTGTTCTGCGATTTGGTTCTTCTGCTAAGAGAGTAGCTCCCTTCAGTGTCTTAAGGCAATGGGCTGGAAAGGAGACAATTCTAGGACAGAGAGAGACTGAAATTAGGTCCTAATTGGCAATCATGTCTCAAAACTGTCTACCCTTCAACGAAAAAGAGACCAGATCTCAATTGAAAGAGCTGAAGATAGTTAAGAAGAAAAGAGTTTTGGTTCATGCAGTTTGTTTAAAAAGTATTTCTTTTCACGTCCAAAAAAATGAAGCCACACGAAGTTAAAATATTTCCTAGAGAGCCGTTTTGAGCTTTTCATGTTTTTTTTTGTATAATATAGGATCCAGGGGCGAAACTAGGAGTTTCTCGAGTAAGGAAATTTTCAAAAATCTAAGGGGTTTTTGAAAAAAATGTTGACCTCTTTTTCAGGTCGACTAAGAGCTCTCCCAAATCCCCATTTTGACGAAACGATCTGTGCAGCAAACGTTTGTTTAAAAACATGTCGAAAAAAGCGTTTAACGTTTTTAGGCGCTCAAAAAAGGCATTTTGAGGCGCTCGCTCCCCCCTCCCTCAAAAAATAGTATGTATTGGCGCCAGGGGCGCTTTTGAAAATTTACCGGTTAGTCAGCTAAAAATGGATGTCGTGAAGTAAAACCAAAGGGGGGCCCTTTGGGTGGTGAAGGCGTCAAATCCTCGAGGAGGAGGCGTATGACACCCCTGCCCTAATCCGATAGTATAAATATATTAAATGAAAACGGCTGTATTAAGAAGAATTCGCACTGATCTGCTCTGCGACACCAACTTGGGTTAGTTTCTGATTGAGAATAAGACAATTTCCAGAGAATATTCGAACCCAGAATACTTTCTCTGAGCAATGAAATAATAGCGATATCACATTCAAGCCGTCTACCTGATGCGAGCAGTCTTCTTGTTGAAACTTCTTGAGCAAAGCTAGTTAAATTGAGAACTAACGAGCTACTTGTTGTGTTAAATTTTTTCCTAATTTAGAGAGTGACAATAGAAGAACCACCCTTAGATGAGCGGCTCTCCTCAGACAACACAGTGACGTCATCGCAATCTCCAATGAAAGTTAACAGCAGAAACAGACAAACAGCCGAAGAAACTCTCTATCTAAACTTAGCCGAAATAAACCAACTCATGCGAATAGCACAAAAAGTTGTGACCATAGCCTTAAAAAACGCAAACTTTTTTTCAAATTAGTGTCATTTTCTTCAATAGCCATAATTAAATAAGCAAACTGGACAAAAAATGAAAACTTATTGTTTAAATGACGACAGACTCTTATTTATTGAATTTGTCTGGAAAACACAAAAATTTTAAACAAAGGTGTTTGTGCCGAGAAAACCGAGGGATTTTTTGAATATTTTTCAATTGAGTTGGAAGGCTTTAATATGATTTTTTATTCCATCTCATTTAATTTTTTCTGCAAAACTTGGTTCTAATTGCAAAATAGCAGGCAAAAACGAACTCATTTTTGTTCCGACTTTCGATAGGAAATAAACGGAATATTTGTGCTCGGGGTGGGTTTTTTTTTCTTCAGACAAATTTTGACTTTTTAACTAGCCAATTTTGCCGGAATTTTTAAATATTATTCGAAAGGTATTGTTGTCCTGAGCTCAAATTTGAAAAAATATTTCACCTGTGATTTTTTTTCGTAAAGTTACGGGGGTTTAAACATTGGCATTTTGGCCAATTTGAGGCAATTAACGCGCGATATATTTCGCGCTATTAACGCGTAAGCGGAGAGTTAATCCGTCTTAGAAATCTTTCCAAATTGGTATAAGAAGCTTATTTGCCATAATTGGTTTGTTACAAGGAACGAAATCTATCCTTTTGTACTTTGTATGGCGTTTGGGGTGATGATTTTCATAAAAAGTTTCACACTTTAGAAAAAAAAAATTTGTTTTGTTTTATTTCATTGAATTTTTTAATGTTATTACTGCTCCATAAACCTTAAAAGGCAGTCGGAACATTCAAGGCTTCGCCCTGATACTCGTTTTTTCTTTCAAATTAGTGTTGGTTTTTCTGCGTGGTGTGATAAAAGGAACAGACAAAAACTACAACTTAGACATAGTCGACAGTCATAGTAAAAGAGTCAAACTGGACATCAGTTTTTAAAGAAAAATGACTAGAAAAACAATCATGAAAAACAATCATGAAAAGCATCTTTCAAACTCCAAAAACTAATTATACTCGAGTAAAACTAAAATTAAGCATAAACAAAACTGCTTGTATCAGGGCGAAGCCCTGAATGTTCCGACTGCCTTTTAAGGTTTATTGAGCAGCAGTAATACATTAAAAAAGTTAAATGAAATAAAATATAATGAAAATTTTTTCTAAAATTTGAAATTTTTTATGAAACTCATCTCCCCAAACGCCACATAAAGTACAAAAAGATAATTTTCGTTCCTTGTAACAAATCAATTATGGCAAATAAGCTTCGTTCAACTAATTTGGAACGATTTATAGGACGGATTAAATCTCCGCTTACGCGTTAATAGCGCGAATTATATTGCGCGTTAATTGTCCCAAATTGGTCAAAATGGCCAAAATTGCAATCTTTAAACCCTCATAACTTTACGAAAAATGATCACAGGTGAAATATCTTTTCAAATTTAAGCTCAGGACAACAATATTTTTTGAATGATATTAAAAATTTCCGTCAAAAATTGCTAGTTAAAAAGTCGAAATTTGTCTGAAGAAAAAAAAACCCACCCCGAGCACAAATATTCCGTTACTTTCGTATCGAAAGTCGGAACAATAAGCATTCGTAAGCAGCTCAAGTTAACCAAAAATAAGTATGCTTGATCGCTTTACTCGCTCGAAATTAGACGAAAAGCAAAAACTCCAAACCAGTTTTTCTCTAGCCGCAAAAAAAATTGTTTTTTTTTAAAGGTTGTTTGAGTCACGAGTGAAACAATTTTAAGAAGAGGTATCACTCTACCCAATCCGACGATTAATTGTGGTACCTGATTTTGCGTGGAAAACAAAAACAAAAAAAAGAGAAAAAAGCACAACCGATGACAAAAATCTTCAACATTTTTCAGTTGGATGGAACAATAAGAACTCTTTTGTTGGTGGTTAAAAGAGGTCGAGCCAAAAATGCAGGTCATTGTGAGAGAACATCTAAAAAATCTGTATATTAAAAAAATTGGCGAAAGATCAGTCTGCCAAAAGGCAACAAACAAGGTTAAATATTTGCGGCCTGACCTGGTTGAACCTTGTCTATTTTTGGCAGTAAATTTGCTGCGCTGCAAGTGAAATAAAAAAATGAGTTTTGTCTCACTATAATTGAGTCTTGTCTCTAATTTGCTGAGATGAACAAATTTCATTAGTAAAAGTACAGTAAAAAACCAGTAAGAATCTGCCGTTCGTTCCAAACGTTTTTTTTGTAAACATGAAAGTTTATGCTTTTCGGCAGAGAAACTGAATTTCGTTTTTTGGCAGACTCACATTTTTTTTCGCCAAACTGACCTTTCGGCACGTTGATACGCCACCATAAATTCAATTTCCCAGTTTCTTATGCCATTATATTATACTATGAGCTTGTTGTTGTCATGGACAAACCTGGTTAGAACTTCCTCGTTTATCCTATGTTTGAGGAGCCTCTGAGAGTAACGTCGCAACTTAAGTTAAGCTGAGAATAAAATAAAACCTAGTTTAAAATAAAAGTATAAAATAAAACGGAGCGCTTCAATTGCGCCATGTAATGAATTTCGCATTAAATCAAGCAGTAAAAAATAAGCATAATGTCATTTGAAAATCCATCTCTTCCTACTAAGAAAACTTTAAATTTGCAACTAATTTTAGACAGTTACTGAAACGACTTATGTCTTATTAGGCTTAACTTGCAAACAGCGTTAGACTAATTTAGTTCCGTCTCTTTTTCAGTCAGCTAGCTGCCGTTGGATTGAGAGACAGCAAGACTCTGAGCTTGAAATAAACAGGCGTGGGATTAAGAAAGCGATTTTTAAATTAAAGCAAACAACACAGATAGATACGCCTTTTCTGAAACAAAAAATTTAATTGTATTAAGAAGTTTCATTTTTTCTTTGAGTCCCGATTTAATCAGTGGATAATTTTAGATCAGTCAAAAATGAAAAATTTCTTCGGATACAGTTAAAGCTTTGTTTTTTAACGTATCAATGAATGAAGTGCGGACATTTATATAAATTGAGATGGCTTTTTAAATTTTTTCCAGGAAAAAGATTTTACATTTTGATCACGTTTGAATTTAGAAAAAAAAACAACATATTGGTTCAAAAAAGAGTTTTTTTAACAATCGCAATCGCAACTTATTTAGGACCTAAATTTTAGAACTGAACAAGATTTTTTCAGGTCTGAAATAGAAAATTTACTCAGTATGGGAAAATGTATGGTATAGTATTCTGCTCAGAACGGCTCCATAAAAATCAATAAGAAAATGTTGGAAATTTTTTGATATCCTAGCCCCTCCCCACGCGCAACTTCATATTCGAGCTCAAAGCAATTTTTTAGTCTTTCAGAAAGTGGGCATTCAGTCAAAAATTATTAATTAAAAAGTCAAAATTTGTCTGAAAAAAAAACATACCGAGTTCGAATCATTTATCATTTGTTCAATAATTGAATCGATAAAATAATTGACACAATAATTGAATCGATAAAATAACTGCATCGATGCTCGCGCCTCGAAGCTTTTTGGAAGCCGAAAAGATCAATGCAAAGCCAAAAATTGTTGGTATTATCGAAGACCCCCATCCACTAAGCCACCAGTTGTTTTGTTTCAGCTTAACTCGAACTCAACGCCGACAAGTGTGTCTGGTTTAGAGGCAGGCGACCAGCTGTGCCAGGTAGGTGCTCTTCAAGTAGTGTTTGATTGGTGTTGAGGCAGAAAACCGATAAAACCGTATGCCGAAAACGTTCACAGTAGTTCATATCAGTGAAAAATGAAAAATAGTAATACAATGATTTACAATGGATGTTTCTATGAGTTAAAAACTGGCGGAATTTTCATTTATTAGAACTGTGGAATCAAGTTTTATAATCTTTGAACAATTTAAGTTTTTTTTCGTACTTGGATTTAGTAATTGGATTCATTTTTTGGGTAGATCCGGGACATCTTGTTCTTTCTAAAAAATTTTATAGCTTATTTCAGCAACATCTTTCAAAGAAAATAAGCATTTTAGATCGTCTGTTCCAGAAAACCTGTCAAAAACGTTTTGTGTTGGCTTCACTTGACCTTTGGATTCACTAGTGACAACTGCATCTAAAAAATTAAACCATTTTCATTCGTAAAATTCAATGGCGAACCAAAATTATGTATCAGGATCCGGGAAGTGTTTTCAAATAAATTATAGCACCTACTTTTTTTGCTGTGAACATATTATTTATTGTAATTGGATCATTTAGATTGATGGGGAGATCGTTGAAACAAAGAGTCAAGTGACTCGACTCCTGCGTGACTCATCTTCTGCGAGACATTTGGAAGTTCTGGTGGCCAGATCCAACAAGGTCTGTATGTTTGGTGTTACCTTCTAGCCGGTGAAAGACAACACTGAAATTTCTGTAAAAACTTGCTTTCATACATATTTAACAGCAGTGTATTAGCAATTTCTTACCACTAACTGTGGATTTTTTCACAGAAGAATTATGACACTACAAGATACTCTATCAATATTAAATCAATAATAACTAATCATAATTCATTATTCAAAATTCTGAGGGTAAATGTGACATTCCAATCTGAGCGTCGGAAAATTTAAAGGCCTCTGATTGGCTGGAATTGTTCTGCGATTTGGTTCTTCTGCTAAGAGAGTAGCTCCCTTCAGTGTCTTAAGGCGATGGGCTGGAAAGGAGACAATTCTAGGGCAGAGAGAGACTGAAATTAGGTCCTAATTGGCAATCATGTCTCAAAACTGTCTACCCTTCAACGAAAAGGAGACCAGATCTCAATTGAAAGAGCTGAAGATAGTTAAGAAGAAAAGAGTTTTGGTTCATGCAATTTGTTTAAAAAATATTTGTTTTCACGTACAAAAAAATGAAGCCACACGAAGTTAAAATATTTCCTAGTGAGCCGTTTTGAGCTTTTCATGCTTTTTTTGTATTATCTAGGATCCAGGGGCGAAACTAGGATTTTCTCGAGTAAGGAGATTTTCAAAAATCTAAGGGGTTTTTGGAAAAAATTTCGACCTCTTTTTCAGGTCGACTAAGAGCTCTCCCAAATCCCCATTTTGACGAAATGATCTGTGCAGCAAACGTTTGTTTAAAAACAAGTCGTATAAAATAAAAACGGCTGTAATAAGAAGAATTCGCACTGATCTGCTCTGCGATACCAACCTGGGTTAGTTTCTGATTGAGAATAAGACAATTTCCAGAGAATATTCGAACCCAGAATACTTTCTCTGTGCAACGAAATACTAGCGATATCACATTCAAGCCGTCTACCTGATGCGAGCAGTCTTCTTGTTGAAACTTCTTGAGCCAAGCTGGTTAAATTGGGAACTAACGAGCTACTTGTTGTGTTAAATTTTTTTCCTAATTTAGAGAGTGACAATAGAAGAACCCCCCTTAGATGAGCGGCTCTCCTCAGACAACACAGTGACGTCATCGCAATCTCCAATGAAAGTTAACAGCAGAAACAGACAAACAGCCGAAGAAACTCTCTATCTAAACTTAGCCGAAATAAACCAACTCATGCGAAATGGAAACTCACAGGCGCTTATGAACTTAGCTGATGATCCGCTATGTTATCAGACCTCCTGCGATTCAACTCGAGATCCGCAAAGGAGTCCATATCGGAGAAATCCGAGCGCGCGACCAATGGGTCCAATGCCGTTATCTCGCCAGGCACTGCAAAATATGCGCCAGAAAAGCTTCACCGATGACCAATGGCATAATTTACCTCTTTCAGATAAGCAAAAACCTCGACTACCTTCAGGTCATCATAAAAATACCCAACAAAATTGCGGGAAATACCTAGATATAGCGCGTCATGGCCACAGTTCACGGCATGGCTCCGTGTATGGACCTATAGACCACTATCAATGTCACAGTGCGCCTCATTCGCCGTTACATCATTCAAATGATCGATCCTCAAATTGGGAAGTCAGGCAGAGTCGAGAAAAAGAAACATCCAAATTGTTTGATGCTTGTACAAACAACCATTTCTATCATGATAACATACCAGAGAAAGGTAATCACGGTCAACGGCATCATCAACATCATCAAAACCAAAAGTACAATTTAATGAAGTCTTCAATTAATGATACTTTCCGACGAACTAGTGAGGTGTCAGCGGAGAAGAAAGATGACCACAGCGGTAGAAAAGAAAAGTGGGGATCTCTGGACTGCTCCACGCGACGCATCCGCAGTTCCACACTCACTGGGTACGAATTGATGTACGGGCGAGGAGGAGGAGGAGGTCCCGAGGAACACCAAGCAGTTAGGGAAAACAGAGTGCGACATGCAAGTGCCAATTATTCCGCTGTTAAGACCTCTGCTGATGCTCATGATAACTGGACTTATGAAGATAAAGGTTTCGTGGTTCCTTTGAAGAGCGGAATCAGGAGAGAGAAAACTCCTGACCGGGAAGGCCCCAGGGCGTCTTTCAGTGAGGGTCGAAAGGGAGAGGGGGAGAAGGAAGGTGGGTTGGATCGGGGTCGATTGACAGACGAGGGACAGAAAAAGAAAATTATGAGCAACTATTTGGTCATAAGAGCTTTACTCTCGACAACCGAGGGAAATATATCCGAAGGAGCTTCCCACCCTCTCTTGTCAATTAACAAAGTTTGATTTTCTACCACTTGATTTCAAAGAAATTTTGTTGAGCTAAACTATCTCAGGCATATCATCAGGTGTGACAGTTTAATCTGAATAACTCAATAAGCACTGTTTTTTATTATGATAGCATTCCTTAGTATGATGTATCCAAATTAATCTGTTGATTTTATCCGTTGTATGTTTTGTTAACGGTCTACTTTTGTTTTGTTAATGGTTTATTTAGTTAAAACTGTCGCACACTGTATGTCTTGGTACGTTTATTCCGTTTGTACAACTCGGAACAAAACCTCAGAAGCATGAAATCCTAATTGAGGGAAGAAGCGGTACTCGCCCTCGTGTGAAGTAAGCTTTTTTTTAAATGTTGCGGTGGTTGAAACCCGAGTTGTTCCAAATCATAGAAGTGGCTCATATTAACTCCCCAGTTAACCAATCGTGCTCACAGATTTAGTCAAATAACCATAATTGGCTGTTCAGGAGGTAGTATATCAGTGTTAGCTGCAACATTTCATTTTTAATTATTATTTTTTTCAATTCCAAAAATTATGTTTTCTCTATAGCTTTAATTACAGTTTTCGTTTCCATTTGTTTTCCTTATGCATCGCGCAGCATTGAGTGTTCCTGAAGCCATAAAACAGTTTTCTGAGTCAGCCAGCGCGAAGGCCTAATCCGGAGTTCAATCGCTGAAGGTTCAAATAGACCACAATGAGTCACGATTAGCATAGTGAGCTATGGCTAAATTGCAAGCCCTCTCTTTTAAAAGAGCAGCACATGTGCGATTGGAACTCGTAATCATATGATTGCTAGGCACCATCAATACCGGATACGCCGCAAGTCTTTTGAAGTTAACAATTTTCTTCATTACTTTTCAAATTTTAAAAAAAATCGCAGGTCAAGTTTTATCCTATAGCTTTGAGATTTGCCGAGGTTTTAGAATGAAAACTTGGTTGTTTGAACAATAAGTAAATTGTTTTAGAGTTGAATAATTTGTTACTTGAATCACTTTATTGCTTGGTTTCGAATAAATACTTGGAATAGGAAGTTTATCCTGAAAGAACATGAGTTTAAGTTGTATAAAGGTTATCTAGCAAACAATATAGATATCAGAAGAGAATGAACACGCTCTGCGTGGTTTTATGTATAGATTAGCACAATGACCTCGGTTAGTTTAATTAACATCAATCTGCAGTGAGACTGCAAAAGAACAAGTAAATAACGAGGTACCGAAGGTCGCCTCACGACATTCCCCGCGGCAGAAAAAATTTGAGAAACAACCCAAAATTAGAGAGATAATAAAAACTGCACCCAAACGAGCAAATGATTGATAGCCCCCCCCCCTATCCCACACAACTGCTGTACAGTTAATCAGAAAGAACATGATAACATGAAGGAGTTTGAATGAGTTTAGTAGAGTTTTAAACTTGACAGATAGTCAATCCTTTCCAGTAACATCTTTTGCATGAGCGAGAGGGGGAGACGTCGTCGTTGAAGGTCCAGGTGGAAAACGATCCCGAATGAGGGGTTTTCGTGGTGAGGACGAAGATACTATAACCGTTTCAGAGGGCAAAGTTGGGTCCTCCTCAACTGACTTGACAGAACGCCGCAACGGATCGCCAAAAAACTGAGTGGGCTTCTTACTACGATGTGACGTCCGGACTGACTCAGCGTCGTCAACCACTGGTTGAGCAGGTAGAGAAAGCGAAGGGTAGGAGGAGGGCAGCTCTGATGACGCTGAATGAGAGGGAAGAACCAGACCCTGTGGCGACACCAAGTCCGGCGAAGAGATAATAATTCCAGTACGAGTAGGATTAACACCAGGAAAATCAGCAAGGTGAACGGTCGAAGAAGAGGCAGCACAATGTGAAGTCCGCGGTTGAGGCGATGTTAACAAACTTTCAAGTTGTGCGGTAGAGTCGGTCGGTAACGAGCAGGTAGCGCTCGTTGAAGTGTGGAGCTGCGATGTAGAGTTAGACTGAGGAGCAAACCTGACCGGAGGTGAGTCACACTGAAGCCTCTGGCGTTTTCCGATAGGAGAAGAACCATTAATCACTTGAAGACCACCGTTAGATCCAACTGAGTTTTCGCTGGAAGAGTCAACTGTGAGGTCCGCCATCGGAGTAGCGAGAGTAGGGTTGTTTGGCCGTTGTTCTAGTGGCACAGGCTGAAACCGTGTAGCAGGCCCTTTAACTGCACCCCGAGAGGTAGAATTCGAAGATTGGAGGCGATCACCTAGAGTGTTGGGAGCAACTGAAACGGTAGACCGATAATTAGGTTTGAGGCAGATGTGATTTTTCCGGTAAACTTTCCCAGTGTCGGTAACATAAGTATGATCCGTAACACAAACAATCTTAAATTTAGTCAGTTTATAAAGAGGTTTCCCCGATTGACGATCAATAATTTTCCTAAAGACTTTAACTCGACTAGGATCAGACATTAGAAGATTTTCTAATTTACTTGTTTTCGATAGGCGACGGGGTTGCACAGCTGGTGCACGCCTGGAGCTAACTTGTGCCCCCGGAGGTGTTACTATTGCCGGGAAGCGTAGAGTGTTGTGATTGAGTCCTGATTTGAGGGAATGCGCGAGGTCCGAATGCCGGGTTGCGAGCTCCTTGAGGACCTTTTTCCCCCATCCGGTGGAAGATTGCGTTTGAATTGCGACCATTTACTCGCCGCCCGAGCGAGTTCCGCCAACGCCTTGTAGGATTCACTATCTGCCACATTTCCGTCCACCGAGAACAAAGGTTTGAAGCGGGGAGGAACTGTTGGACTAGTGCTGCCGCGAGGAACAACTTTTGCCCTGTCTCTGCTGTAATCCTGGCTGGCAATCTGGTCTGGCGTAAGGAGGTTGCGCTCCAGTCCTTGGGCTGAACTATCAGATTTAACAACATTATTACGCGCCTGAGACCAAAATGCAATTCAAAAGGTGATTTCTTAAGCACCGAATGATTACTCTTGCGAATATCCTAAAGTATTTGTTGAATCGTTTCCTTAAAGTTTTTGAAATTAGGATCGAGTTTTGCAACACCCAGTTTTCTCTTGATTGTCTGAATCGTTCGTTCAACCAAACCACTGCCTCTATGATCTCCGACCGGCGAGAGGACATGTTTAATACCTCTGCAAGAGCAAAACTCTTGCACCAAGTTATTTTTGAAACCTGAACCGTGATCCCTTCTGATAGGGTGAGGTAGACCATGGATACGAATGTTAGAATCAAGGAATTTAGTAACCTTCTTAGCCCCAGTACTTTTAGAAATAAGAACCGAAGGAAACTTAGAGAACCGATCGATTGCTACTAAAAGAAAGATCTTAGACCCCCTTATCATCAAGTATAGGACCAGCAAAATCTAGTTGTAATTCCTGATTAGGTCCAGACAGAGCAGGCAAAGGTTGCGCAGTATTAAAAGTTGACGCGGGCTTAAGATTCTTACAAAACAAGGTGCATTCACGGCATTTCTCGCACGTATCAATGATCTGGCGGTTCATGAACGGCCACCACGGGTATTCAGAGGCCGCCATCATGGCCTCTTGTCCCGGGTGAGATCGGTGAAGACGAGTGAGCACGGCTTGTCGAAGAGGTTCGGGTATGGCCAATTTATTTTCGATAACTACACAGTTAGTAACCACAGCTGCGTTAGGCCAGAATTGGGCCATATATGAACCAAGCTTGTTGAAAGATGTGATGTCCTTGTTTATGATAGCTCGCTTCATAGGGCCAAGAAAACGATCCTCCTCTGTTAATTCCGCCAAAAGGTCTGCATCGAAGAGGCCAGGCAGTCCCACGATTTCCTTCTTTGACGAGGAAAGAAGAGGTTTGCCCCCATTGACAGCGAAATTTTCAATCTTTGCAGCCGTATTAACTTTTCCTGGCTTCGATAGGCGACACCGCCTCCAATAGATGGGTGTGACCATCTTTTCGAATTGTAATCCTGGTGGCAACAAAACGGGTTTTAGCAGCCCGTTCACGGGTACGGTTTCGTTGGCGTATTTGATCCAATCGAGAGATGCGGTTCAGTTGACGAGATCGTATTGTTGGCTTTGGACTGGATCGGCGAAAGTTCGAAGATCTTATCGGAAAAGACTCCACGAATGTCAGTAAATCGGCCTGCTCGGCAGTTGAGTTAAGTATAGTTTGAGGGTCAGGTTGAGTGATAGTAGCATTCAAGTCGATAATAGTGGGTCCGGTAATAGTTTGTTTAGCGCCAGGTGGTTGTGTTAATTTGATCCTGCTGGCTTCGCCATGAGAATTGCCGAGGTTTTAGAATGAAAACTTGGTTGTTTGAACAAGAAGTAAATTGTTTTAGAGTTGAATAATTTGTTACTTGAATCACTGTATTGCTTGGTTTCGAATAAATACTTGGAATAGGAAGTTTAACCTGAATGAACATGAGTTTAAGTTGAATAAAAGTTATCTAGCAAACAATATAGATATCGAAAGAGAATGAACACGCTCTGCGTGGTATTATGTATAGATTAGCACAATGACCTCGGTTAATATAATTAACATCAATCTGCAGTGAGACTGCAAAAAAACAAGTAAATAACGAGGTACCGAAGGTCGCTTCACGACAAGCTTGCAAATATTGATAAAGAGTTTTATTTTCTACTTGACTTCAGTTACCTAAAAAAATGTCCGAAGATCGAGTGTGATATCCTATTAGAACTTGCATTTTTGATTGGGATTCGAAAAAAATCATTAAAAGGCCAGCCGTGTATTTGTGAATTGTAGCGGACTCCACAGCAGGCTGAAAATGCTTTAACGTGGAGTCCTTGATCTTTTTGCTGTTGTGAATCCACATACAATTGGTAATTATTTTTTCATTGCTCCAAAATGCTCCAAAAAGTAAAATCTTTGTAAAATTGGGAACAAATTTTGCGAAATCGAGAAAAGTTTTGTGTAAATTTTAGTAAGCGTTCATTGCTGGTTGAATGCTTAGTAATAGATCTTAAGTTATAAGTCTCTCTGTAATTCTTCAAATTTCTTGACAACAGTTATAGTTTAAAAATTTAGTTAGAAAAAAGTATGAATTGATGTGATGGATAGTTATATATAATTGATTCAATCAATTATTGAACAACTGTCTTTAGTACCAATAGGGATGGAGTCAA